GTCAACCGAAGTTAACTGTTTGCAATTTTCATATACTGTATGGCCTATGTATGCAGCATCCCCACCCAGCGTAACCCTCTGGATACCTGACGAATGGAAGCAACCTTGTGGGATCCCTGAAGGGGGGGGGCGGCAGAGGAATGGTGTCTGACATCGCTCTGACCCCGGGCAGGGAAAGCTGTTGAAGCTTGGCACAGCTTTCAAAAGCATATGGCCCTACCACAGCTCCTTTGGCTAACTCGCAAGCACCTCCAGTGATGATGCCAACTTGTTCTAGGGCGCAGCATTCAGAAAAAAGTCGTACGCCAAATGCAACGCAACCAAGCATTTCGACCCTACTCAGGGCAAAACACCCTTGGAAAGCCGCATACTCTACAGCCACAACTGTGGTAGGAAGCTTGACAATTTGCAGCGAGTAGCAATATCGCCAAGCTTCTCGGTCAATCATGTGAACACCGGGGTCGACTCTTACATGCCGAAGTCGCGCAACTGATGAGAAAACTTTAGCCGGGACTATCCCAGTAGCGTTAGCGGGGACCCAAACAGCTTTGGGATAGTCTTCATACTCTTCCCCTTGAATTTGATCCCTGCAGTCATACTTCTGGAAGCAATCGTGAACAATCAGGTGGTATTGCGTATTATCCCAAAGGGCTTCTTGGATTGGATCACACAATGCCTGGTGAGTGTACGAATCTAGCAGGGTCAGTTCGCACCCGAACGTGTCTAAGCGACTGACAGCTGGCAGATTTTCCACTAGGTAGTCCTCAAGCATGTCCCATCTATGATGTCTGCTCACAGGCACTCCCATTTGAATAACGGTACCTGCCATGGTAGTAAGGAGGAGAGTGTAAGAGCAACTGCCAGCCATCTCGTCGTCCTCATTGCACCACAATGGCGCAGTGCTTTCCATATGGATGACAAGGGGGGCAATTTGACCTCCCAGGCGATCAGGCGATCAGCTTTCCGCAGTCTAATGTAACTGGCCTGAACTGCAGAGGGGGGTTAGCCGCTCACCTAATCCCAAAGGTAGCTCTAGGCTCCTATAGGTGTTGTCGCCAGTAGTAGCCAACCATTTTGGTACGTGGCAGGTTGAGCTCGCTGCCTGCCAACGCAAAAAAGGTTGTTCCAGGACAGCATCTAGGGACGCCGCCTGCTTGGAGTGCCGTGCTGGCTTGCGCCCTGGAAAGTGGAATCTTTCGCCGTAGCCCTGACAAGGAGATCATCTGACCATAGCTTGCATCAAGAATACCTGGCTCGTAGGCATGAGCCAGGTTTGGTGTGTGTGGAACTGCTGGGTGGTCGCTGGAGGCACACTGCCCCTCATATGCTCGGACAATTATGTAAGGATTGTTGGCTTCATTTTGTTCGCTGTTGTGCTTGTACCTTCGCTCCTTCTGTGGGGTAACATCTTGGAGGCGCAGGGTGCAACAGCGCTCCGCCGATTTTGTGAACCACCTGGACGGGGAAGTAAACGTGCACGTGGCCAATCGGCAGATCTGGCTTGCCTAGGTACAGGTTGCGTCCAAAGGACATAACAACCGTCTGCATCAGTGCCAGAGCATTTCTGCTGGTCGCCTAAGGCGAAAGGGGCAAGGAGTGCGTCGAACCCCAACTTCCATAGAGAAAAAGAGAGCGCCAGCTTTGTCTTTCACATGCCACCAAACACTTGTAGACAGCGTTCTTTGAGGTTGCTCCCTCTCTTCTTGAACAACATGGTGGCCAGCCAGGGTATCGAAGGAAGCCATGGAGTCCCAGTTCTGGGTGCATTGGACATAAAAGATGTCTGTCAGGAACGCCCCCTTCAGATTGCCACGACACGACCACTGGGCGCTACAAGGTCCTGATCGCTGGGCAGCGCATTGGAGCGAAAGCCTGGTATGACTTCCTGAGAGCCTACCTCGAATCTGAGCTTTCATTCACCTTTGACGTGGTGAACCCGTGCCTAGGCAAGAAAGGCGCGGTAAATGACTTGGTTTGTGTCTTGGTCCACGTAGATGACGTGATGTTCACTGGACGAGAGCAACCGGTGGAAGACTTCGTGAAAAAGTTGAAGGAGAAATTCGATGTGGAGGTGGCCATGGTGAAGAACTACAATGATGAGTTTCTGAAGCGCAGGTGCACCTATGTGCCAGAGGGTCTGCTGGTGAGGCCTGGGCAACATGCTACAAAGATCATCAAAGCCTTCGAGGAGAAGTGTGCAGAGGTTGCCAGCCCCTGGAGACATTCAAGATGCTGATGGATCGAAGGTGGTATCCTACGAAGATGCCTCAACCTACCGGTCGATTGTGGGGATGGGCATCTACTTAGCTCAGGAACGCTTCGACCTCAGCTTTGTGGTGAAGGAGCTGGCTAGCAAAATGGCCAATCCAACTGAGCTGGCCATGCAAAGGATTCGCAAATTTGTGGGGTACTTCAAGGAGACTGAGGACCAACACCTTCTACCCCCTCTACCTGTCCAAGGAGAAGGTCTACATGGTCGTACACACGAGGTGTGGCTACTTGAGAGCTTCACTAATGCAGACTGGAGCGGCAACAGAGGCACAAGGAAGAGTACATCTTCATCGATTCATGGCCTGAACGGGATCATCATTTACAGCACTTCCCGTGAACAGAAAGTGGTGAGCCTCTCTTCAGCAGAAAGTGAGCTACACGCATTGGTGTCTGGGGCATGCGACGGGATTTGCATCAAGCCTTCGAGTTTTTGACGGGCGACCCTGTCCATCACATATGCTGGGTGGACAATTCTGACAAGAGAGGAGCAGGACGTCTTCGGCGTGTGAGTGGCAAGCTGCTTTGGTGGTAAGCGGCGCCATGGAAGTGAAGCAGATTAGCACGGTCCTCAACTTGGCCGACATTGGGACGAAGCCTCTATCCAAGTCGAGGTTGAGGTTGCTACTGCATTGGTGCCATGCTATGAATGGTGATGGAAGCCGAGTTGGCGAGCAAGAGAATCAAGAGTTCGAGAGGAACCACCTGGAGAAGGGAAAGATCATGAAAGTGGCCAAGCACCTCAACAGAATCATCTTCTTGAGCGGTCTTGAGCTGGCTGCGGGTTCAAAGCTTGAGGACAACTATACAGAGGCGAGCTATGTGATCCAGATCCCCTTCCACTGGATGGCCTTCCTGATGGTGTTCGGCTTTCTCACCTTTGTCATCGTGATCCTTTGGAGCAAAGTGCAGGCCCTAGAGAAGAAAGTGACCTTCCTGCAGAACAGGATTGAAATGGATGCACATGACAATCGAGAGGCCGCTCAGCAGAATTCGATGACAGCCGACTATGTGGAAAGAGTTCACAGAGGCTTGATCAGTGCTGGAGGGCACGTTGAAGGCCCAGAAGTACAAGTGCTAGAGTGGCAAAGCTTGCGCTACCTCGAGACGGTGAACAGGTGGCATGATGGATTGAAGTTGAGAAAAAGGTGGAAGAAGGTGGAGACGATCCAAGGAGAACGTGGAGAACAGCTCCCTAATGGTGGTGCATGTGGATGTTGACCTGGCGAACCAGGATTGAGCGGTGCAACAGCGATCATCATCCTGGATGATGGGCACATTGTGCAGGTGCCTACTGAGTATGTGGAGCAGGCTGGACTTGAAGCGCCATCTTCGCCCGCCCCTATGGTGGAACCTGAGCCCACGCCGGGCGATGAGAGCATGGAGGCTGATGATGCAGCCATGGAGAGTGATGAAAGTGCACCTGAAGTGGTGGCAGCAGCGTGGGAGCCTGAGTCAATTCGAATCCCGGATGCCCAGTTTGAGAATTACAACAGGGCATATAATCGTGCCGACCTTCGAGCTCGTGAAGAGCTTTTGAAGATGGAGGCCAATTGGTTTCACGGCCATCGAAATGGCAACAGATCCTTGATGAGCGAGATGTATGATATGAGGGAATCCGCTCATTTTGTACATGGATTTGATGACTAAATGCTGAGTTTCAACATTATGCATCAAGAGGAGGAGTGCTAAACCTAAAAGGAAGTACTCACTCATGAGTTGAAGACTGATGTGTTCATCATAGATGACACGCACAAATCGAGACCGCTTTGCCTCAAGCGAAAACAGCTTCGCACATTCCCAAAAGTTAAGCGTGTTGCTCGTCAAATGCAGTCTCGGGTGGTTGTTTAAACCTGTGTTACGACTTGCATGGCTTTGCAGCGGTTTAACTGTCCCCCAGGCTTTGGAGTTTTCAACCACGCTGCGACAATGAGCATCAAACTGTAGTTGGTATTGTAGATGTGCACATGGAAAACCTTTGTCCAATGTCTTGGCGGAGAGAATGTGAGTAGACGTAGAACCTACAGTCTGATATGAGCAGTCACGAAACATTGATTTTCGCGCATTTCATTCCTGGAGAATGGCGGAGACCATCAAGGCTGTTCAAAGATGCCTTGTATCGATGAGTCATCAAAAAGAGTGTTTTACGATTTGAACTTGTTGGTGCCCATTGGAAGCAAATCAGGGGTGTCCCATCAAATTTGTTGGACAATGCGAGGTGGCTGTGCGCGTGCGGCCACTTGTTCAGCGGGAAATTGAAGCTGGTGTTCAGATCTTAGCATGTCCGCAGGTTCAAATCTATTGCTGTTGCGAAGAACCCTCAAAAACAGTAGCTTGACTGTTGTTCGACCAAACATTGTTGTAAATCTTAACAATTTCATCGCCAAACTGAGGCCACCATAGCAGTAGCAGTTCACAACAATGTGGGTGCCCCAGAGAAGGGCCTCACGCATGCTGTAGTGAGACACTTTCCTACATTGCCGAGATCAAGTTCATTGACTGTGTTGATTCGTTCAAGGATTGCCACTAACTCCAGAACTGTTTGAAAGAGTTGACTAAACGGGACCAATAGGCACAACAACACAGGGAACTTGCCGAAAGTACTATAAACTTAATCGGACTGCGTTTGGATTGCTTTGCATCTCGCTGCTAGTGACATGAGGCCGTTGCCGTGAATCACGCTGGCCAGCGGAGGACATTTGGGTGCGCCCCCAAGTATTCCAAGAAAAGACATGAGTGATGCAGTGCTGTTGAGTGATGCTGGGAAGGCAAGGGTTGGTCTTGACTTGCGAGAGGTGGAGTGTTGACCTGTTTTGTTCAGGTTTGATCATGCTTACTGGAGTGTCGATCCCAAAGACCCGAACTTTGCCAACCAGGTGCGCATTGCGTATTATACTGTTTGCTTGGTGTTTTGAGCTTCGACATCTCTTCCTCTAGAAAGTCCTATGGCTGTGCGCTTTCCTTAGGAGCAAGTCAACACTGACATTGGCAAACCGTGCCTGGAGCCATTTGCTTGGATGTGGTGCTCAGACACATTGGTAGTGGCAATTGGTTTTGCAGCTGAAGTTTGCAGCATTTGTCCGAGAAAAACCCTTTCTCTCTTTTCTTGTGGTGCTTGCCTCTCCAGCCTTCACAGGAATATGATCAAAGGCTACAATTTCTGTGTGTTCGCATATGGCCAAACAGGAATCCGTGGCTTGCATTGGAAGCAATGCTCGTGCATTAAACATGCTGCAGTTTTTAACGCTGCGTTGATCAAGGAGTTGCGAGAAGATTTGTCACCATGTTTCATCCATATTTCGAGTCAGAGTGTTTGGCTGGGACCAGTCTGCTGCCACAAGTATGACGAGTTTTCTCCCACAAAAAGGATATTGGCTAGACGAGTTCAAAGGAGATTAACAACGCGAACAGATTCATTGCTGCGCGCTTTTCCAGGAGCGGGCAAGACCCATACTTTGAGCAATTCTCCTACTAAAGAGAAGCAGATGGGCCTTATCCCTTATGTGTTGGAGGCACTTGTGGCATCGGATTTGTTGAACATTGAATATGTCTCACTTTGAGATGCCAGGGGCTCTTCACGCAACACCGTGCAAAGTTCAAAAATGACGAGCTCAGGATTTGGGTGCGCTTTGCTCCATTGCCCGATATGATTGACGCCACCCCAAAGTCGTGTGGTTTTATGTCTGATTGAAGGCTTTGTGGGCTTTACGGGAGAGACTAACGTTTTTGACTCCACCATCTGGCATCATATGGAGGTTTTCAGAGAGGTGCAGACACGTTTTTAACGAAACGCATGACTGCCAGATTTCCTTCATGGAGATCTACAATGAGCAGATCCGCGATTTGCTGGAACCTCTGATTGGCAGCATAGGCTCCGGATGGCTCCATGACGGGCATGCCCGTTTGAATTGAGGCTCAGTCCAGGTCGTGAGACCACAGATCTCAAAGCAGGACAGCTTAGTACTTCAGGGTCAATCCACGTGTATCAGAGACAAAACAAGCATACGCACCTTGACAAAACGGGAGTGTGAGAGGAAAAGACAAAGAGTGAGAATGAGAGTTAGCCGAACAATGTATAAGAGAGAGAGGGACGAACTTGAGAGAGAGAGAGAGAGAGAAAAGCCACCGCTAGGGAGTCAGAAGTCAGAGAGAGAGAGAGAGAGAGAGAGAGAGAGAGAGGGAGAGAGAGGGGGAGGGAGGGAGAGGGAGGCATGCTGGATTTCTGATGTGTGAACCTGAATCTGGAAATTTTAGGTGAGGGACCATCCGGAGTTCGGTGCATATGTTCCTGGTCTCACAGAAGCTCCCTGTAGCGAGGCACGACTTTCTCGATTGAACGGATCCACCTCGATTTGTTGAAATCGATCTCCCTAAGCGACTGGGAGAGACGAGAAACCATGAAGTTTTTCATACGCGATGACCATGAAGTTTTTCCCACGTTCAGTACGCTCGGTGGAAAAAATCGCTGTGCAGATCAGCGACGTGAAGAGCTTGTTGGACTTTGGCACCAAAAAGTCTGGGTCCAAGTTGGATGTCCTTGGACACTCTTGCACCAACTTGTTGTGGACAAACACAGCAAGTCTTTCAGTCAGGCGCGTCACAGCTGCGACAAATATGAATGCGGGATCATCCAGATCACATGCAGTTTGAGCCTTAGACTGCCTTAGACACATTTTGAGGTGGTGCTTTACATCATGCTTGCAAGGTTTTGCGTGAACAGACCGTGATCATCTCAGGTCTTCACAATCCGTGCACAACGTCTTACAGGAGTTTTGTTGGACTCTCTTTTGACACTTTGTAGCCTCTTTCTTTATTCGTGTATTGAATCCAGGACCGAAGCCTACCACTGGAAACAAGAAGGACGATCGGAAGGCCTGTGTTGGACTCCCAGCATGCATGCTGGCCTTGCACGGACACGAAGTTGCTTTACAACAACCACTGACATATGCAAAGCAAACAAGTTGCAAACTCAGGCGGGACTCCAGACACCCGTTTCTGAAAGGGCCAAACATAGGTTCTCCTCCGACCAAGTAGACGAAACGAGAAACTCTTTCAGAAAAGATTGCGATCCCATCCTGGTCAGAACCACGCCGTTGCGGTGCTCCCGAAACGTGGCACAAAACGCGGTGCCAGTCCTTGAGCTCCCGCGTGAACTTGGTGGATCTTGCTGGCTCAGAGCGCCGGGCTGCTAGTGCTTCGAGTCGCGCCTAGAGAGAATAGATCTATCTAATTCAAACAGAAAGGTCGTCTTGGGTCCAAATGGAAGGTTCTAAACAAAGTCCTTTTCATCTGAAAAGCTTTCAAATCCGTCAGGAAGATCCCTTTTTAATCTTTTCTGGCAGAGGTGTCGCCAAGAGTGGGGCAGATGGGCTCCGATTGCGAGAAGGCTCGCTTCAACGAGGTTCAACGTTGAACCTCAGACTGTCCATGACCTGAACCATTTTGTTCCTAGTAGCGATGCCCTTTGGTAGCTTGTTGTTTCTAGTGGCGATGGCCTCCACCTAATAGCGTCCTTGCTACTCTGATTCTGGATACTGTACTCAAACGCTGGAGATGGTTTCAAGCTGGGCTGAGAATGTAGGAGCTTGTGGTCCTCAGGGGCGGTTGCTTCTGGTCTCAGAGTCCTTATCGATCTTTCGAGAAATGAAAGGGCAGCTTTTCAATCAACACTTAGACTCATGGCATGCTTGATGTGATTCTTGGTGAGCTCCATGCAGAGTAAAATGGCGGTGATGTGCCCGGAGGTTGTGCCATCAACCAGTCACTTACTGCCCTAGGCCCGTTGACTGGGCCTAATTGATGCAATCTGTCAAGGAGTGGGGTAATCCACAATTTGATTGCACAGAGGCTCTTCTTTCAAACGCCCTCTGTATTTTCGAACTGAGTCACGCATTTTCCGCTCTGTATTGAAGTATTGAGGCTGGCTTGGATGTTGTGTAGCCCACTGGTTTCGGCTGATGTCTCTAGCTTGCGCTGCTTTTCTCCCTTGGTCCTCAACTTTTGGTTCTTTTGATTCTATCCATCTCCAGTGAGTGGCCTTGGCGCTGCTCCGCTGCGCTTTGCCAGGTCTTGTGATCAAACAGCTGGCCGAGATTCAACAAGAGCCAATTAACAGGTGCGAAAGGGGCCAGAATGGGACCATGACGGATTTGGAGGGATACATGAGTCATGACGGATTTGGTGATCCTCAGGCGTCGCAGACTGAGCGTGGACGAGAGAACGAAGGCAAGGAAGCCATGGGATATTTGTTGAAAGCCATGGGACCATGGCCATGGGACTGTAGACCATGAGGCACAGTCTGCTTTGTGCATCCGATCCAGATGCAAGAAAGACAACTTAGCACCCTGGAATGGAGATGGATTGAGTTTGAGTATGTGTATATATATATATATAATACATATATATATATATAATGCAATGGAAACATTCAAGAATGGAAAAACTTGTCCAGAGGCTCAGGAGACCAAATTGCACGAGATCGATTTTTTGAGGCCATTCCTTTTCGAGCTTCGAAGCTTACCTTCTTGCTGAGAGAGTCCTTGGCGGGAAACTCCCGGACGTGGCTCGGCGCATCTCCACCGGGCTGAAAGGAGAGCAGAAAAAGCGTAGAACATCTAAAAGACCAAGGGATATGACAAAAGATGTTCAAGACATCTGATTGACATAGGTGAAAAAACATAGCCTAGCTACAGGGTATGAAGCAGAAAGGTGTCATTGCTGCAATTGTTCAGTGCATTTCCATACTTCTTTGTGAGTACAAGCCTTCTTTCCTTCGCCGAGCGAAAGAATGCACTGAGGTTCATGGTCGGTGCGGTGTCCCCTGCCTCCATTTGCGCTGATGAGACCATCAGCACGCTACGGCCGGGCTGCAGAGATGGGCGCAGGGTGTGAGCACAGTTGTGATGTTTGGCGCGACCAGCATTCAGTCTTTTTGAGCACTTCATCCATCAGTCTCATCATTGAAATTCCAAGTGTTGTGTTTTGCGTTTGTGTGTGGAAATGGATGCAGGACCCAAGCCATGCAAAACTGACCCCCAATCCCTCAACTCAACCACTCAGGCCAACTTAGTAAGTTGGATACCCCTACTCAGGGTACAGATGCAACAATGTGTCAAGTCAAAAACGGGCTCTGACAGGGGCAGGATGGTTCTGACCTCTGACAGTTCCCAATTTGCTGACTGCACATGCCGGATCATACAGGGTACATTTGTAGCCACCACATCCCACTACCCACTAGTGAGTTCGATCGGAATCAGAGCAGGGAAAGCTTGAGGGCTTTTGAACGCGATGCTCTCAGGTTGATAAGCAATCAACCTCTATCGGTCAGATCCAGTGCCCAATTAGGTTTGCAAGCTCTGTGAAGCGTGTGAAGACTGTGCTGCTCTCAGTATGTTTCCTTCTACGCATGCAACCTTGTGCCCAGATACTGCTGGCTATAGGCTTTGTTGTCTTTCTGAATGAGGTAGCGCTGCAGAATGTCAACAAAAAGCAAGAAGCTGTTGCATCATTGCAGGCATGAACGCTGGATACAACAGTTTGGCGTGAACTGATTCTGTCTTGGAGTGCCTCTGGGGAACTCCATGGAGAGAATGGATATGTATATTTTAATGAGTTCTGTACAATGAACGCGCGCAAACTTGTCTGGTAAATGCTAAAGAATTCTAGATTCAACCTGCTTGTCAGATGACATTGAGGGCTCAAGCCGACTCAAGCCTGAAAACAACCCCTCATGCCCGAAAACAGTGTTGCAAGCACAAACACTTGCGGGTCGTTCCATTGGGGTTTGACCGTCAAGACCTCATCGTCTAAATGACAGGGCTTTGTCTTGAAGTGTTGAGGAACTCGCCAACACTCGTGGAGAGTTGGGAGATGAATGCATTTTGGATAACCAAATACTGCAGATTCTTGACTGACTTGGCCAGCTTGGCTTGTGCTTTTATCACCAACAACTTGACAGAAAAAGTAACTCAGAGATTAGCTACAAAACCGGATCGCTAGACCTGAGTCACCCCCACTGGGTGTCAATCCTTCACTGCAGAAGTGCCGCAGAAGTCTTCGCTTGGGCAGACTGGTGCTTTCTCTCTTCGTGTCAGGCTGAAGTTGCAAGGCTGGCTGAGATGTTGCACAATGCTGGGGCACAGGGAGCTGGCGACGTTCGGAGCCCCAGGTCTGAAAGGCGGCTGAGGCTAGTGAGCTGTCAACAAGGGAGGTCCTTTGGCGAATGGCTGCTGGACTTAAGTGACGCAGGAGGAAATCCTTGAAATCAGGTGTTGACTTTCCTGCAACACTCTGGTGACGCCAAGGCAACAGTGAAGACGCTTCATGATGCACGCCTGCCATGTCTTGGCGACATTTGGGAACGGGAATTTGTACGGTTGCAAAGGTCAGGTACCATCTTTTGGGTGGATCGCGGAAGCCTTCAATGGCAGTGCTTTTCTCCATATTCTCAGCAAATCCAAGATGCTTTCTCCTCAAGAAATCGATTCAAAGACCTTTATATACTTAACTTTGCTTATACTGAAATTCAGACTCAATGCAGTCCAGGCTTTTGTTGCGAAGGACAATCCCCAGAACGACAAGTGGGTGTTACGGAACAACAACATTGTGTGGCCACTGAAGCCTCGGAACAAACCGCGAACAAGTACTGTATATTTTGAGCTGCTCAATGCTGGGACGCTTTGCTTTCAGTTCAATAATCCTGCGCGAATTGGACACTTGTGACACTATGAAAGTTGTTTTATCAGTGGAGTCAGTGGAGCCATATGTTCTTCTTACCCGGGCTCACTTCCACATGTCCTGTACAGTTTAATGCAGCTTTTGTAGTATCATTTAGATATCATTGATTCCGTTTTTCTTCCTGGCTGTTGACCCTAGAATTCAGTAACTTGAGCCAGATGTTCGGTGGGAGATTCTTTTTTGGCTGTCGGTGATGCTTTTTGACGGCTTGTTGAGGATTTAGAGGAACGAGAACGACTGCTTCAGGAGATGACGTTCTTTCCTGCCTGTTTATAACTTTGAAGACATGTAGCAGATGTAACAGTGGTCTCCCTGCATAGACACTGAAGTGTGGCCTACACTGAAGTGTGGCCTGTGACAGGAAGTCTCATAGACAACAGCTCGCAGAAGCCAAACTACTACAGGTTGGCTTGTGACACAGCGCTGGCTTGTAGAGTTTTTATTTTTATTTTTTTGCCAATTCTCTATGATGAACCTCGAGGGATGCTTCACTTCCTTTATATATAGGCTTTTGGACTCACTGCTGCACATCAAAGTTTTGACTGTTCAAGCTTCAATTGATCTGATCTCGCATCGAGACTTGGCTCAAATGGCGTAGTCGCACCTCGCCTTGTTTGTGCCATCGAGGCCACGGCGGGCGATGAGCTTTCCGTCGGGTTCCGGTCGTGCTCAAGGCCGACCCGTGCTCGGTGCAGGTGATGCACGTTCGCAGACCTCGGGGCGATGTGCGCGATGAGCGTGGCTGTGCAGCAAGAAGTCAAAGCGATCAGAGGGTCCTCGTTCAGAATTTGCAAAGTCCACTCACAGATCCAATATGACTCTTGGGTCAATTGAGCCACAGGCTCAAGGTCTTGCATCATTTTGACGAGGCAAAAGGTAAAACTACATTTTCGTGATCAATGCGAGATGACATGAAAAGAATCTATGTTTTTATATAGTGTACCCAGTGGAGTGGCAAGAGCGTTTTGGAGCTGTCTGGAGCGGCCAAGGTGGCGTGGCATCAATTAGACGCTCCTCTCCAAGCGCTCCCGGGCGAATGACCAAAGAGACCTGGCCTAGAAAAGAAGCTTTTTTGTTACTAGTAGTTTTGCCCTTGTTACTAGTAGCGATGCACTTGTTACTACTAGCTTCTTGCTACTAGTAGCGATGCACCTGTTTCTAATAGCGATGCACTTGTTACTACTCACAATAAATAAGATGGAACACCTGAGTCCAGCTGTGAGATTGAATGTCATCATTCGACAAACATATCGAGGCATGTTCAATCATTGCTCCCAGTGAGTTCGACGGACTTTGAAGTTCGAAATCCGCTGGACAAGCCCTCTGAGGCAAGCCCAACTCCCAAGGTGTCAGCCAAGGCGCAGAGGAGACCCGTTAAGTGGCGCAGCTGCACCCCATGAGCAAGATGGATCATGACACCAAACAGAGACTTTAGTTCTGTTTTTGAATATTCCACAAATGGGGGGAGTGGAGCCCAACTCAACCCGTTGTTCCAAATCATGAGTCATCGCCAAGGTCTGCGCCGGGTTTGCGTCCATGTGATAACAGCGAGGTCACAAAGTTTCTGCAACAGAGTCTTGGTCTAAACGTGGCAATCTGAGCTGTGGTCTCAACCGGCATGCGTGGCTTTTTTGTCGTGAATTGAGTTCTCTCGGCTTTTGTACAGCCATGACATTGGGATGAGATTTGATTTGGAAAGACTTGACGCCTGGCATCAAAAGACGGCAGTTTTCCGTTTTTGACCTCTGAGGATTGGTTTGCCTCAATACGCATCTTGCCAAGCCTGGGATTTGTTATTGCTTGGGTGGCTATGAGATAGAACAAGGGGGTCTTAGTCTTGTCTCACACACCTTACAGCCGGGGAAGCCGCTCTTTGTCTTGATCCCAGGCTGAAGCTCTTTACAACAGCGGCTTCGAAGACATGGAAACGCTGGTTGATATTGAGGCAATGAATGTCCTTCTTGGCAATACTTCAATACATCCTCTTGTTTCTGCGTGTGTGTGGGGCAGCGCTATCTGTGCTTAGAGGGCGCTTCAAGCGGCCGCCTCTTTTTACCCAGATAGCGAAGCTATGGGGTTCTTACTTCAAATAACAATGAGTTGCCCGTGAGCGCTTTCGAGACAGGTTTCTGGTGCTGGTGCTGGTGCTGGGTGCCGGTGCTGGTGCTGGTGCTGGTGTTGGGTGCCGGGTGCCGGTGCTGGTGCTGTGAGCTGGCTGCGCACGTGGTGGAGACAGGTTGCTGGTGCTGGTGTGTTGGTGCTGTGAGCTGGCTGAGACAGGGTGCCGGTGCTGGGTGCGGTGCTGGGTGCTAGGCGCCGGTGCTGGTGCTGGTGCTGTGGGCTGGCTGTGCACGTGGTGGAGGCAGGTGCTGGTGCTGGGTGCCGTGAGCTGTTTGTGCACGTGGTGGAGACAGGGTGCCGGTGCTGGGTGTTGGCTGTGCGCGTGGTGGAGATAGGGTGCCTGTGGTGGGTGCCGGGTGCCGGTGCTGGTGCTGGTGCTGTGACGTGGGTGCGGGTGGTGGAGACAGGGTGCCGGCGCCGGTGCTTGGTGCTGGCTGTGCGCGTGGGAGACAGGGTGCCGGGTGCCGGCGCTGGTGCTGGTGTTGTGAGCTGGCTGTGCGGCTGTGGTGCTGGCAGTGGGTGCTGTGAGCTGGCTGTGCGCGTGGTGGAGACAGGGTGCCGGTGCTGGCAGTGGTGGAGACAGGGGGCGCCAGTGCTGCTGGTGCTGGGTGCTGTGAGCTGGCAGTGCGCGTGGTGGAGACTGGGTGCCGGTGCTGGGCGCTGGTTGTGCACGTGGTGGGGACAGGGTGCGGGTGCTGGGTGCCACCGCCGCTTGTAGCAGTGAAGGGCGACCAACCGCCGCTTCTGACAGTGAAGTGCCAGCAGTCATGGGCCGCATGAACTTACGCACGCAATATCATACGGTGTTGTCGCTTGAGCGTTCTTTGTCTATGAGCGCTGTGGGGTATTTACAGTCTTCAGGTTCTGTTTTGGCCGACAGCTGTGTCAAGGGCTGCTTGGCCTTGGGCAAGTGAAGCCTACGGGCTTTGCCGTTTGTGCGCATTCTTTTGTGTGCATAAACTTATACGCACAAGATCATACGGCCTTATCGTTCTACAGATCGTTGCTTCAAGCATGCTATAAAGGCACTGGATACTGCTTGGCCTTGGGCCAATGACACTTACGGGTTTTGCTGTTTGCACGCATAGTTTTGTGTGCATAAACTTATACGCGCAAGATCACACTAGGGATAGCTATGGGGTTCTTACTGCAAATAAGAATGAGCTGGCTGCGCGCGCTTTCGAAGGGGTGTCGGTCCTGGGCGCTGGTGGCTGAGCGCGCGTTTATGACGGGCGGCGGTGCTGGTCGGGTGCTGGTGCCGCCGCCGATCTTGTCAGCTGGCAAAGCGCACTGGTGCTGGTGTTAGCTAGTTCGGCGCGCTGTGGAGGCGCTGTAAGGTGGCTGTGCGTGCAGGCTGTATACATTCTTCGGATGCTGCCTAGTTATCTGGGTCTATGCTGGTGTAATTTAGGAGAGTGGGGGGGTTCAAGTTCCAAAAGCAATTGCTTTGCAGGAAGATCACATGCGAGATTTGGGCATTCTTCCTGGCCATCAAGTCAAGCTTCGCAAGAGGCTTCCAAGCGGAAATCGATGGCACACGCAAAATATACAGCATCGTGTTTAGCTCTAGGTTAGATTCATTCGGATTTCTTCATTCCTCTACCAATCAAGAAATAGGATACTGTATTCTCAAAGATTTGCAGTCAGACACAAGATGACACATGCCACCTTGAAAAAGATTGAACGCTGTTGTTTTCGAGGCTGGACGAGTTTGAGGCTGGCGTTCCAGTGGTGCAAATCAACCAGAGAAAAGCTTTGGGAGACTGGGAAGAGGAAGATGACTATCCTGCTGTACCTGTGCGCATTGCTCCGTCCATGACACTCCTGAAGGGCCACTCGCCCAGCATGACCCTGAGGGGCAACCCTGATGGTCCATGCGGAACGGAGTTGTGTTGAGAGATTGGATTCGTCTGCCGCGGTGTTTGGTTGACTTTCCCGATGAAGACGTCTACCCCTTAGTTTGCAACTTATACCAAATCTCAGGTGCAACTCCAAGCGAGAAGATGCTTGGCAGAAAGAGTCGAAAGGGGTTTTGTCAGCTAGGCAAGTCCTCGGTGTCCGAGATCAAACGAAGAACAACATGAAAAACATGTCCAGCATTCTGCCGGCAGAGTGTTTGGTGTGATAAATGATACAGGGTTGGTTCTATTTGGTCGGATTGCAGTGAAGGGTTGGCCCCTGTTCGTTCTTCAAGGAAAGGTCTGCAGGCCCTCAGGCACAGAAAAATGGCTGTAACGATCGGCCGGACCGAGGCAAATCAGCTCCGTCCAGTTGAGCTGGAATCATTTGAAGGAGATTGGCACACCTGTTGTGGGTGAATATTTTTGCAAGTGTCCAGGTTGCAATGAGACGCGTCATGAAGCATCAGTTTGCCTGAGTTGGATCCTTGCTCGAAACGCTACAAACTTTTGCCAAGAGGAATGCAAATCAGATTGCCAATTCGTCGTGCCCACATGGCCTTGATTTGGCATTCCAGGAAGATTCTTGAAATTTCTCCAGAGATCAAAGACTTGTTTCCTCCATCTGTGCGATGTAGATATCGTGATTGGTCAACGGACGAGGCACCGATTTCTGAGTCCGTTGCACTTTTGACTGAAAGAATGGAGGCATTTGGAGAAGACGATAAAATTACAAAATCTGGTTGACGTCGGCATAGATGTCTAGTCAAGTCCTTGGATGTTCTTGTCACCCGGCTTGGGTTCACCTGGCTTTGCTTGTTCTGGCAGGAGGAGGATGCTCCTTGACAGTATTCGTGGCGCATCGGCCTTCACAGGTTTGTCTTCTTTGGACCCCAGAAGGGAGTCAACCTTGCACTTGGAACAAGCGGGCGCTTTAGGTCTTTATAGTTTTAGTATACTGCGACACGACAACAGGGTATCATGGAGCAAGCTGTGCCTGATAGCTCAGCATTTCCCGATTCCCGATTCCCGTTTGAGTGGTGTCCCCGGTCTCCACAGCGTGTGGCCCGAACGCCGGTCCCGTTGGAAGAAAGGAGCGATGCTTGGCGTCCTCTCCGGCCTTGCGCCGGCTCTTCGGCCGCGTCATCGATGCCGTCGGGAGCGCAGTGGCAGGGATGCAGGCGCAGTTGGGCCGCGCAGCGCGGACACGGCGCGTTCTGCTGATGAAATGAACTTAGAAGGTGCTACAGTATCATTAGGTGACAGGTGTCCAGGGCTGTTTCACGTGCTTGATTGAATAGTGAGTATATAGTAATAGTGGCTTTTTCAATCTTTTTCCATTTCTGGCGGTTTAGAGAAAAGTTGAAGATTTGTTTAGTTGCAGTTGAAGAGTTTCTTTTCTTCGTTTGGTGAGGACATGAACAGGATGGTGCCGGCTTTGACCGAACTGGGTTTGCGCCATGTCACTCGGCTTGGGGAGGAGCGACTTTTGTTAGCGCTTCCGCTTTGCTTGACTGTTCTGAGGTGAATTACAACGTGAAGGAGGAGCACTTTCAAGTCTTTGAGAAGGCCGACCCTGCAGAGCTTTTATTTGATACCAAAGAGACTCGCTGCCTTTGGTTATTTAGGACGAAGCCAATAGCCAATGCAGGTAGCATTCTGCGAGTGTATTGCAGGATGCCACAAATGCAAGGAAAGGGTAAGAAAGGTGGAATGGAGCCGTGCTTCTCTTTTCTCATAGTTGCGCATTGACGAAGGCAAGACAGCAACCGGTGGTGCTGAAGCAACACTCAACATATTCGGTGCATGAGTCGACATTGCCATGTTCTACCAGCAGTCGACATTGTGCTTTCTCAAGCTGATCGCACAAATCTCGAGACGAGAACTGGACAAGCAAGCAACACACGTTAGCTCGAGAAGTATTGATCCACGATAGTCTATGGACACCGCACTGCTTGATTGCCTTCTGTATCGAAAAAAGAACCGGCATGCGAAGGTGAACAAATTGGCAACAGCCAGAAACACGCAGTACTCTCCATGCACAATGCCGCCGCCAGTGCCAAGAGAAGGCTTCCAGCGACAGCTTCACCCTGTCAGACCTAAGCAGGCAAAGCATAGATGTCAGACCCAAGCGAGCCATTTGGGTCTAGGCAGCACGCAACAATTGACCAGCAGTGAGTCTAGTACTACTTAGAGTGGCCAGCAGTCTCAATGCTCCAGGCTTATAAGAATTCTCGAGATTTGAACCTTGCATCTACTTTGCATCTGGTTTGATCCAAACAGAGGTCATGTTACCTTTATGCTGTCCACCGGCTAGCTTTGCTGAACTTGCTGGAGTTTCACCTTTTTGTTCGCTGCTGGGCCCAAGAAGTGGGCCATTTGGGGGTGCAAAATAGTAAGTTGAAGAACGTGGACAAAATTCACCAAGAATACGTTTGAAATTTCGATGCAGTTGGTCTTTGTCCTCTCCTGTTTCCCAGCTTCTCAGAATCTTTGAACTCCCCTGTTTTCTGACAAGCGAAAAAATGTGTGGGTAGTTGAGACAAAAAGACTGAAATCTTTATGACTGGAAAAGGTCAGCAGGACACAGACACTTAAAACAATCTAAATCTAAAAAAGCATTGTCCAGATGCGAAAGAATGCGATTTACACGCAAACACAACTACATTGACTGCCATCTCTTTCTTGAGGCTCACATTATTCTCATATCTAACTCCAGGTGTGCAGTGCACACACCTGCGCTAGTGCAGACATTTCACGCAACAATGCTGCCTGGCCCGCTCACTGTTTGAACTCTTTGTTTTGCCCCAGATAGCGAGAGCTATTGGGGTTCCTACTTCAAGCACAGGAAGAGGTGCCTGTGTGCGCTTTGGAGGCTGGGAGTGCTGGTGCCGCTGCAGAGTGCCGCTGCCAGGTGCGTGGCCATGTGCGCTTTGCAGCTTGGGTGCTGGTGCCACAGCAGGGCACCGCCAGATGTGTATGGCTGTTTGCGCTTTAGATCCTGCATGTTGGTGCCGCTGCAGGGTGTGGCTGCTGCCAGATGTTAATGGCAGTGTGTGTGCTTTGAGCCTGTGCGCTGGTGACGCTGCAGAGGTGCTGCTCTAGGTTGCTGCTGAGATGTCTATGGCCGTGTGTGCCTTGGAGCTTGGGTGCTGGTGCTGCTGCACCTTGCCGCTGCAGGGTGCATAAGCATGGCCCTTTGGAGACGCTCAACTTGAAATAGGTCATCCTGGGTCCCCGAAGATAAGACAGACAAGACATTTGGAGTGCAATTTTCCCGAAAGGTAGTGTCGACGCAGCCCACTGCAGGGCGCAGCTGCCAGATTTGTATGGCCCATGTGTGCTTTGGAGCCTGCATCGAGGCGGCGGCTGCCAGATGTGCATGACCATGTGCGCTTCGTGCTGGTGCGGCTGCAGGGGGCCGCTCCAAGGCCTATGGCCGCGTGCGCTTTGGAGCTTGGGCGTTGGTTCCGCTACAGAATGCCATTGCCAAATGTGCATGCCCTGCGCGCTTTGGAGCTTGGATGCTGGTGACGCAGGGTGCTGCTGCCATGTCTATGGGCATGCGCGCCGGGAAGTGTCTGTGATGTGCGCTTTGGAGCTTGGGTGCTAGTGCCATTGCAGCGTGCCGTGCGGGGGTTCCGCTGGACGGTGTTGCTTGGCAGTGTGCGCATTCGGGCCTGTGTGCTGGCGCTGCAGGGTGCTGCTGCAAGGGAATGGCCTTACGTCAGTGGGCGTGTGCACTTTGGAGCGTGGGTGTTGGTGCTGCTGCAGGGTGCCAGATGTCCATGGCAGTGTGCGAGTTGAAAGCCGTGCTTGGTGCTGCTCCAGGGTGCTTCTGCAAGGTGCCGGCCAAATCTTTGTGCCTTGTGCGCTGTGGAGCTTGGGCACTGGCGCCAATGCAAGGTTTTGCTATCTAGAGTCTATGCTGGCGTAATTTCATTTTTGTTGGTTCCCGGCAAATAGCTGCAGGCTCTGATGATCACCCTTCGTGAAGGTCTTGGCGACCTATTCACCAAGGTGCAGAACGAAGCAGTTTTTTGGGGACGGATGGGGGCACTAACACTCTTGGATACATTGAGCCCAGCAATGTGAACACATGAGGGAATGGGATCTTCAGCATGGTTATTTCTATTTGTCGTCTGATCTTGTGTTTGCACTTGCAGGAAGTGGAATTTGCATGGAACATGGCCTTCAACTTCATGAGTGCCACAATGATATCCGGCCTTCGAACCTTGTCAGTGAACGCAGTGAACTGAATAAGAAAGGTCCCTGTCGGCGCTTCTCAAAGTTGAACTCAAGATATGCACGCTGACCTGTACCGTTGTGATGTCATTTCCGAAGGTTGTCGTACCAGCGATTGCTACAGCCACATCCGAGGCTCGGCACAGAGCGCTGCCCGCTCCCAGCAGACTGAGCCCGGGCCACAAGTAAAGACCCACCAAGTCTGCGAAGGGTCCTAACAGCAGCTGATGAACGGCCCTTCTGATTCGAGATGGCATGGCTATCGGGTGGCAAAGCAGGGTTCAGATGAACTGCAAAGGCTCATGACAGCGCATGTCTTGATGCGCATGCACTTAGGCTAAGCAAAGAGCCAAACATGAGCACGACAGCCACTCCGACAGAAACTCCTTCCTCGGCGAGTGGCTCTGGCCGAGGGAGGCGGGAGCTTTGCTGATCAATGGAAGGCTGAAGAAGGGAGCTTTGAGTATTTCTTAAGGTTTTTGATTGATAACTCTCGCAAACTACAATCCTAAGATGCTTTGACTCAGGCTGAGAGCTCAAGACGCCGCAAGTACGCCCTTCGGAGCTCCTGTGGATGCACTGTATGGAGAGATAGGTTGCGGATTCCTGTGACACCGTTCTCGTCCCCCGTGCGCAAGGAGAACTACATCCCAAACAATGCAAATGGGCCACAGAGCAGGTTCTTTCCAGGTTGCGATGATGGTGAGGATACCTCCATATCTTCAGCAAGCACCTACATAACAGGTACTGGTTGTGGAGGAATTTGATTGGATGCCATTGAACTAACGGAACAGGATGAGGGGTTGTTGCAAAAAGATTCTCGAACATGTACAGCATTCATTTGACATCAACATCTTCAAGGTCCTTCCCAAGACTTGTGACTTTGAGGTTGGCACAGAGCTGCATGGCAAGGAGCCATACCGAATAGAGAGACACCTGCAGAAGGCCGGACAAAAACAATGGACAAGGACTGTTGGTCGAACTCAGTCAGCCCATGAAACTGTCCGTTTTGAGTCCCAAGAAACTGTCCGTAGACTGCATCTTCTGCACATCTTCCTGTCCCAGGCCATTTTTGGCGATGTCTTTGAGGAGCGGGACTTTGGGAGTGCTGTTGACTGGAACCAACCAGTTGGTCTTTTTCTTGGATTGTTTTGGATCACAGATGGAAGTAACATGAGACCAAAAACAAAACGCCATCAAGTACCTCTGCTTGTGATGTTCCGCTTGTGGGTGGCTCACCTGGTGGTGCTGAGCCGAAAGGTCTTAGGCCTGGAGAGCCAGCGGCGCTTGGCAGTGAAGGTGACCGAGCTTGAGAAGATGCGCTTGCAGGCAGAATGCACCAACATCACACCGCTTGGAACCCATAATCCATGATATTCAGTGAAGCTACCGGGACAAGCGGCAGTGATTGGAAGTCCACCAGACCCAGAATGAGCTGAAAAGGTTCTCCTATGGTAAAGGTAGCACTTCCACCGTTTGTATCATAGAGATCACAAGAATCTTGGACTCTTGTGAATAATTGAATAATAGTATATATATATATCTTTACTTGACTGCTCCAGCTTGCGTTACACCTCAGTATCTCAGGGCTGGTTTCCCAGTGACAGGACCACCCAATTGAGGGATGAAATCCTTTGAATGATGGGTTTCAATCGGATTCTGGATTTTTCCTTGCTGTTTGTGGGGAGTCTCCCTAGCTTTGAACACACCTAAATCATCTAAATATTACATACAGGAACCGTGTTCAGCACTTGGCCTATTAGAGCTGAGGCCTGATAAGGCCAGAAGACGCATGTCAAGACCCATGTCTCTCATTCTGACGTATTTCCTCTATGTGCAACAGATAGGTGATCCGCCTCATTATCATTTTGCAACGGCTGAGAGAATTTGATGCACTTCTATAAAAAGTTATTTAGAAAAGCACATTGTGCTGAGAGAATGTGCTTTTCATCCGAACGCGTTCTATAGATGAAAAGCACATTGTGCCGAACAGATCCACGCCAAAGGTGCTGCAGTGCTGATCGATCGATCGGTGTTCTGTCCAGGCGAAGCATCAAGCCTTGGTGGAATCACCGTTATGTGAGATTCGCTTCGCGGAGATGATGACACTCAGCTGAAGTTGGTACTTTTTGAATTAACCCCCCCCATGAGGTTTGCAAACTTGACTGCCACATTGTCTCGTTACATGTTTTGCCAATGCAATCATCAAATGAGGTAGACTCAGACCTTCGTTTGAACCGATGTCCGGCAAACATGACGAACAGACCATTGTTCATGCCACACCACGCATGCCAACAGGAAGGGTTTGGACAATGTGATTCAGCTGGAGGACTGGTACAGATGCGGGATGGAGAGCTCAAACAGACGCAATGGCATATTATCATATTATATATATACATATGCTTTCATGGATGTTTGGACCATTGAACAGGGAGTCATTCATGAAAACCTTTTGATACATGCTGAGATTGTTTAAACATCTCAGAAGTGAAAACATTGCCAGGACACTTTTGGAGATGATGATAGGCATTATGTGCCTTGTGCTGCATAGTGTTCGATTTTTCTGTGTGCACCTTGTGCTAGTATGTGCCCATGCACTGCTTCCAGTCTTTCCAGAGGGCCTTAGCCACTTTTTGTTCAAACTGCAATGGATTCCTTGAAATGCTCCCTATATGTTGATTTTGCTAGCTGTTCTGTTTGTGGAGGACTATAGACTGTCCAGGTGGCCCTGTTCTGAAACAAAGTAGGGCCGCAACCCAAACAGCTTCATGGAAACCTTCCCAGAATGAAACGCATGAGCATGAGTCCTCATTTCCCTAAGGTGGTGATGGAGTTGGCCTCTGGGGGTGACTTAATGGAGGCTTTGGAGCTCCGCCACAGCGGCTTCCAGGACCCGAGCACATGAGACCAAGATGGCGAGTGGAGTCGTTTGCATCCTTTTCTGCAGCATCCTCGTTGATTTCATTTTTTAACGGGGGATGACCTTTCGCAAAAAGCTGAGCACGATGTTTGCTTTTCTCAACCGGTCGCCAAAGTGTTAGACAGGAAGAGCATGCCAAAAAGCTCATTCTGGACGTTGCTAGAGGTGTCTTGCTCGCGTTTTCAATGGGATCAGGATGACCAGCAGGGCGTTTTCGCTCTTCACATGATCTGCAACGTTTTATATAATACGTCTTAGAGTATTGGATGGCTTTGTCTTGGCTTGGGATCTCATCAAGTTGCCAACTCTTGTGCAATTGGTCCTAGAACAACAGCCAAGCATTTTTAGGCAATGGTAGTGTGTTGTGCGGTTTCCTCCAAAATTTGAGGCCTGGCCAGCCTCCATATGCGAGGTCTTGCAATGCAGGCGGATTCTTGATACAGTCTTACTTTTCTTTGTACAGGATCACAAAATAGGCAACAATCCATGATGCTGCTAGCGCATTTTGCTTTGCCAAAGTCAACGAGCATATACCGAATAGTGCGACTGGGTAGAACCACACAAGTGCCTCTGGCTGCTTAGTATTCCTGATCTCAGAAGGCTTTTGCCGCATAGCAATATTCATAGACACACACACTTATTGACATGCGTACTGACTTGAAAGCGGTTGCCACACGCCGGCCTAAG